CCAGCCCCAATTCTGGTCACAGAGTCTGGGATGGTCAAGTTCACCAAAGACCTGCAATCCGCAAAGGCAAACCTTTCAATTTGGGTCACTGAGTTTGGGATCGTTAAATTTGCCAAAGAGCTGCAACTGGCAAAGGCGCTTTCCCCTATGTGGGTCACAGAGTGCGGGATTGTCAACGTCACCAAAGCACTGCAACTGTCAAAGGCGCTTTCCCCTATGTGGGTCACTGAGTTTGGTATGGTCAAATTTGCCAAAGAGCTGCAATTCGCAAAGGCATAACTCTCGATGTGGGTGACTGAGTCTGGGATGTTCAATTTGAACAACTGCTTGCAACTTTGAAAGGCTCCAACTGCAATTTGCACTTCATAGTCTGGGATGTCGACAATGAGCAAATGCTCCAAGTCAAGTTCACTGCAAAAGCTGGTGATCGCACTTTGGTTGGAGCATGTCACGACATTTGGTTTGAAAACAACACTTGCAATAGTATCTGGAGCGAACCCCGCATCTGCCACCCTCTCATCATCGCCGAGCAACCGGTCTCCAACAAGAATTGTCACGCCAGTTGTTCTGCAAGTAATTTCGTCCCAAAGCTGCCCCTCTTTGATCTGCCGCTTGAGCTCTCTACCTGTCATCCCCGGCATGACTTCAAAGTAAACCAATTCGCCGTTGACCAGCTGTGCTGATCGTCTTACCGCCATGGCCAGCTTTGGGCAGCTTTGGGCAGCGACTTCAGCCCTTCTTGATGTCCATGTTTTGGGATTTGGAACTGCAGGATTTGTGTTGTTCTTGGAACGGAAGGTGGAATCATGCACTTTACTATCCGTGTCGTCAGGTAAACCTCGAATGACGGATATTCCACCAACAAGTTCTGCCTTTTCTGGTGTTTCATTCGGTTTTGTCCATCAGCTGAGGCAAAAGCACGTGTGATTCCCAAGCATGGCGATACCTGTTGGGTCAAGCAATGTTGTTCGCAGGGTTGTTGGTCGGAATCTAAAGCTTGTGGATGCCATGTAGCAAAGAATATTCCGAGCCTTCGACTGAGTTTGAACATGTTGGAACCACACCAACGCCCGGGGAATCTGTCACATTCTAAGTGTGTTTAAAGTTTAAAGGCGACGCCAGGCGACGTCGAGACAGTGCGTCGAGACGAAGGATTCAGACCAAGCTCGGTATCCACACGAAACCCCTGACGCCACCGGACCCTTTCCAACCACACGCGCAGGGACACAGGGCTGTGTAGAAGCCCGACCTTCATCACACGCGACTCGCCCTGCGCACTGTTGTTCCACACTCGCACCTGCATTGAATGGACGGTCACTTCCAAAGGGGGACGGGGGACAATGGAGGGTCGACGCTTGAAATAGATCTTCTTGGAGATCGATTAACCAAAATCAAGTGTCCTTGAGTTCGTTCCCTTCCTGCAGTCTCCATGGTCAGTTGTTTGGTGCTACGGATGATCATGTTTTCTGCGACTCTTCTTCAAGATGCCATGGCTTAGCCACAGGGCTTGGTTCGTGGCTGCCATAAACTAGCAGGCCCTGAGGCACTAGTTTTGGCCAGTTCCAAACTGATCAGATCGCGCGATGGGTCATGAGGTCTTTGTCCAACTACCACTCCGCACCCATTCGAGTCCAGGCTTTTATCCTCTGGTCCTTTCCTTTTTAGGCGAAGAGGTCAGGTTTTCAGGCTTGTCTGGGTAGAAGGAGCAAAAAAGACCCCGTTTCACCCAAACTCATGGATCCAGCTGCCTTTGGAGTCACGCTTTTGGGCGAGCGAGACCCACGTCACCCGTGCACGTTCGTGGCTTCGCCCCATCGTCGCCCTCCTCGCCCCATCCGCGCCGTGTGATCCGCAGACGCGGAGGCGATTTGCTGGCCCTTAGAGATGAGGCGATGCGCCGAATTTTTATGGAACAAGTGACCCGAAGAGCTGGGCAAGGTCTGGGTCAAACATGGTCAAACCATCTCCCTTACTCAATGTGTCAAAGCCATTGAGTAAGGGGGATGTCAAACCGTCTGCAGCGGGACGGGGAATGTGGCTCCACTGGTGTCCGGTGCGGACATAGCCGACGTTCTGAGCCATCCAAGTAAGTTAAGTGGTTAGGGTGCGGATATATGCTCTGAAACCTCACCCCAAATCCGCTTGGTCGATAAACCGGGATGTCCTAAAACGTAAAGACGGAGGTCTGAGAGAAAGGAGTCATAGCACGCCATCCATAGCGGCTTGTGAAAGCTTGTGAAAGCGAGTCAATAGAGTCAGACTGTTCGCAATGGACTGACCAGTCCTGCATGGAGATGGTGAGCTGAGCACCCAAAAATCTGATGTGTACTCTCCCTGGAACTAACATGGAAGTGGAAAACCACCTGTTTGTAGTGGAAAATGGTCTTCCAAGGGGCCATTCTCCACTTCCATGTTAGTTCCAGGGAGTGTAAGGGGATGCTCATTCCCAAGCAGTGATGGAAAAACAAAACTCGTCCACCATCAAGTACTAATAAAATGACTTTGAGATGCTCTAAGCTGGGCTCTGTCGGGCATTTGCTCGGTAGCACAGGCCATGAACCAGTGTCTAAGGTGCTTCTCTACGTCCCTCCCACACACCAAACCCTGACACAAGAAACGGCACCCCTTTTAGAACTCAATCAAAAAGATCTGCAGCTGCTGTCTACTCCCAGCACTCACTGTCCTTTGACTTCGAAGCTACCTCCTGCTCCCACGACCAGGCCACTCACCGCATTAGGCGAAGCGGTTTCGTCCACTCTCCGCACCCTTCCATCATCCTGAACCAAAATGTCCTGGCAATAGACTACCTGACTTCCTACGTCTACCAGGTCTCCAGACCTCCAGGGCACAGGAAGTGCTAGCGGCAAGTAGCATTCGTCTCTATCGATCGACAAAGCTGCGCGAACTCTGTACAACTCTGCCATTATGTCACATTATGTCACCGTGACCCGGAAAAGGGCTGCGAAGATGGGGAGAAGAAAAAAACGAACACCAACTTCGGGCTGCTTTAGCCTCCTGCTTCTCCCAAGCAATGTCTAGAACGCCACCCCTTTTCGCCTCGGCGCCCCGCACCGTGTGGCTCAGCGCCACGTCGTGCACTTCGCCCTTGTGGCCTTCGCTCCCGGTGACCCGTCCCGGTGGAAGCCATTGGCTCGGACGGGTGGTCCAAGAGGGTCCCGCCATCCCAGTCAGAGGATGTTTTTTCAAGCTGGACGGTCGTTCTGTTTTCGATTGTTTTGGAAGGTGCCGCCGGTCGTTCTTGGGTCCAGACGATGTGTTCAAGCTGAAAGCCTTAAAAGAACGATCTAAGTCTAAAGCAAGAGTTCTTTCCTGTTCTTGAAACGAACGTGGAGATGTGGCCAATCGGAGGGGACGGTCGTTCTTGGGTCTCCATGCACTCCTTAAGGACCGTCTGACTCAACGTCTCCATTGGAATGGAGGTCAGGAACTACAGGGACTACAGCTCTCGGGTTTTCCCCGTGGCCATCGCGTTCGGTTGGGCGTTCCCATCACCTCGGAAACAGGGCCAATCCATCAACTCCATCACTGGCCAAAGCATCGAACATCCGTCCAATATGACTGGTGACTATGGCTCAAAAAAAGAACCGAATGGACCTGACATGGTCAAGAACAGCTGAGGCTTTGGAAGCTGGTCTTGACCGTCCAGGCAGTGGGGTCCTGGCACCCAACCACCATGGCCAGACCCCGGGTGAACCATGAAGCGATTCCTCTAGGTTCGGGATGTACACCTCCCATCGTTCAGTGGAGGGAGGTGCCATGATTGTGGTGCCATGACTGTGGGGGAGGTGCCATGACTCACGGGGGAGGTGCCATGACTCACAGGTCATACAATCCAATGAACCACGTCGACCATCTCCTTCGACGGGTCGACCAGGTTCGCTCGAAGGAGTTTCGGTCGAAAGGAACCACAAAGGCCCATCATGGCCAGGCCATCCGGTGTAAAAAAGAGAGGCCACCACGCGATCCTGGGTGGCAAAAATGAAAAAAAAAAACATCTTAAACACATTGTCAAACAATCATCAACCCCTCCATACCCCTCCAATGATTGTGGATCAGTGATTGTTTGATTGTGGATCATGAAGACTGGGCTCTGTCTGTGGATCAAACGATGCATCACCCTCGCTCCTCCGACGTCCCATTCGTCGCTTCGCCTACGAAGCGGAAGGGCCGGAGCTGCGGCTTGAAGTGCCACACCTGTGCCGGGTGGCGCTGGAGGGAGGCACTCAAAGGGGTGGGTATAGTTGCAGCTGA